GCGTCGCAACGAACACCACGACGTCGCATGACATACCTTACAAACCTGGCCGCTGCGCGTGGAGACGGCATTCTGCCGCTTTCGAGCATCCTTCGCTGGTTCCGCGATCTTGTGCTCGCGAGGTGTCTACCTCTGTCCTTGAGGCATATACAGCTGCTCGGCAGACGTTCTCAGATGGGGCACACGACCTTCTCTGCCGACCCGCCAAGACAATGCACGCCGTAGTGTGGCCAATCTTGGAGGGTCCTTGTCGCACCTGCTCATTCTTCTCAGACTGCTGGCCAAAGTTGCGTCTCGTCCAAGCCGCATACGGTGCAGCGGCCCCTACACGCGCCTTGCACGCGACGCGCCCCCAGGCATGGCACGATCCATCTGGTATGTGTCTGACGGGATCTGGCCAGACGTGCCGCGCGCCCGGGGTGCACTTCCCCTCCTCTGCAAGGCCAGGGCTTCGTCATCATGGATATCGAATCCAGGCACCCGCGATCTCATATGTTCGTCTCGCGTTGCCGCCGACGCTTCTATCGTGTTTTGTCCGACAGCGCCCCTCCCAGTCCACCTCTGCTTCCCATCCTCTCTGCCGCCGGCTCGCAATCCAGCAAACCAAACAAAAGTCACAGTCGCTGCGCCCACACGACCGCCCTCGTTAAGAGCGCATCGCGTCCCAGACTGTGCGACGGGCTTGACATCGTTCAAGGCGCGCAAGCCAGTCCGCTGACCCGTTACGGGCGCTCCGAGCCTCGAGGCGCGACCCGTGCTCGCATAGGCCGTTCATGACTTCGTGTGTGGGGCGGCAGCGCAGTCCTTTGAGTCCTCTCTCGTAGGCCGTTCTGTGGCGACCGCCCTATGACCGAATTGGTCTCGTGGAACGTGTTGGAGTGGGAGGTGAGGCAGAGGACACCTCTGATTTGGTGGACATGACGACCGTGGTATTATGCAGCAGCCTCGTGCGGCCCTTCAAGGTAGGCCGTGGTCGCACGACGCACGGTTCGACGTGGTGACATCAGATTCTACTCTCGTCCTTCTATTCATCTGTTGGCAGCCTTCGAGTGGGCAGTATGTAAAAGAAAAAACGGCCGTCGTGCGCGCGCACGATCGGATTTGTGCCCTTCACCGCCTCGGCCTTACGGTGCCTAGACTCTCACCTGAAGACCATGCCGACGGCTATCGTCTCCCACTGGTTCGGCTGCCAGGCTGTCTTCCCAGCCGGATTTCCGCCCTTGCTGATGCCATTGACCAACATGCAGGTATCTCTCGCAATTGATTGCAGAGCTTTTTTAATGCGGCAGCTGAGAACGACCTGTGACGCTCTGACTACGTGGTGCCAGTGCAGGCGGCGAAGCGCCGACTCTGAGTGTGCGGAAGAAAGAACGGAGCGCCTGACGTTGACGGAGGAACGGACACACCATGACTGTCGGACGGGATCCCACTCCCTTCCCGCGCTGAACACGGCGATATCTTTTCTCTGGCCATGACATGCGCAGTGCGGCCTTCGAAGTGGGTGGTCAGCACTTCGCTGACTCGGACACGCCAAGATTGCCGTGCTCATACCGTCAAGTGTCTGGGCTCCTGCTTCATTGTTCATCACCATCTGACGGGCGAATGTCTTTCAGATGCGTTCCCCGTGAAGGTATGCGGCCTCTCATCCAATCTTGCACGCTCACACGCTATCACCGTACGCCCGTCCGCAATCCCCGCTATCGCATCCACGCTCGTCGCAGGCATGATGCAGCCTTCCTCACACGTCCGTATCGACCCCGTCGAGTTCCGCATTATCGCACAGAGCGGGTGCGCTAGGGAGTTATCAGGCAGGGTCGCAATCTACGGGATGCAAGCCTCTTGATGCGTTCGCTACGTAGGCGTCTCGAGGCCCCCGGTGTGCACAGGATGTCACAAAGTTCATCTGCGCCCGACGTCTCGAATAGGTGCCGGCCGCGCGCCCTCTCAACCTGGTGGTGCGATCTTACAACATTGCTCGCCGATGCGCCCGTGCAGCCAACGGGCGCTCTATGCATCTACTCGGAGTCGGCGTTCATTGCAATCTATCGCGGTTTCCCCTCCTTTTCGAATTTCCTTTATCTCTCCACATACAAGTCCAACAGTGTGCGTCGTTGAACTTTCCGCTCTGCGGATCGACTGTGACAAGATCCGCTGTAACAATGATGGGTATACGGGCAGCGTTGACGTTCCCTGAGCACCGCGCAGTGGGGACTCCGATAGTGCTCCAGGCGCGCCTGTCCTTATCTTCTCACCTGTGGTCTTCAGACACGATGCCGGCTTTATTCATCGTGGTTCCACCTTTTTCTCACTTAGTTTGCTTGTCCTCAGGCGTCACTATGAATGCACGTTCCACCAGTCCAGTTGTACAAGGACGACAGTTGACATGCCTTCTCCGTAGCGAAGGTGAAGTACCGAAAGCGGGAGTGCTACCAAAACAAGTAACAATGAATATGCGTTAGTCTGCTGCGATCCTAGTACGTACACTGTCCAGACCTTGTACGTTACTCATCTCTCCCGCGATGAGGATACAGACGGCATGCTCAAGACAACGGTGTACGAGGACGGCAGAACCTTGCGCAAATATAGCAGATAGCCCGGAGTACGAGGGCCGTCTCGTGCAGGACCCCGGTACGTGCCGGCGACAACCTCCTGGCATCGATATGACCGTTAGCCAGCTCTTCTGTCACGCTCGCGTATCCTTGTCTGGGACATTGAAGGTTCTCACTGTCATTGACAGCGATCAAGTTCTCGGAGATGCCCCAGTGCTCTTTGGGGTTATCGGGCCCCATTTCCGACGAGTGCTCGGAGGTACGTTCCCGTGTTCCGCTGCACGTACCTACCATGCAGATCGTCATTTTTGGATATAACAACATCGCTGCAAGGACTCTTTCGACCATACGCGACCCCCCCACGGGTCGGTCAGCATAAGCTAAAGCATTGTGGTGGCTTACGTCTATGCAGCCCCTTCGCGGACTTCGCAATCAGTCGTTTAGTGGTATTACCATAAGCGCTCAAGAGGTCAAGCACTCGTAGTCTCATCTACTCTACACCAGTACGCTGTCGCTCGTCCTGACTGAGATCGTGTCCAGTCTGACAACTGGCATTGTGTCTGCCTAGTCTCTTATAGGAGAGGTGCATGGCCATTGACGTCGCTCATAGCCTATAGCTGCAGGAGCGCAGTTCCGGTCGAATCGTGCAGTTGCTATGACATGCGCTCTTTGGTATACATGTTGCAACTTCTCTGCTATCCAGGTCTCGACTTGAGTAGATCACTATTCCACCGAGATTTCTACACACCCTAGTCCCCCGCATAGCTGTGAATCGACCGGAAGACGATCCCGGTCAGAAACGCGCAGCGTGGCTTGATTGTCTATGGTCTCCGTGCCTGAAGATAGTCTCCGGTCTATTGTTGCGCTTTAATGCGCATTGTGGTTGTAGAGAGATTTTTATGTATTGCCTCATCTGTCTCCTCAGTGAGTTGCACTTGATTGGGCTCCGTCACCTGATCATATTGACAGCTGAGAAAGCGACCGGTTCAAGTTGCGTACCACATATTAGCTGCGGAATCATGCCTCGCACTGTTCGAGCTTGGCAGGCGGCACTTTCGTCACGACGACCGACTACCTGCAGCACGACGTGCCTTCTCAACGACGTTAGGAAAGCAATCACGCACAGGCCGCGGATTCCTTGCGGTGGGAACGGTACGCTCAATGCTATTTGTGCACTGTATATTTCGGGCTCATCTTACTGATGGACGAATGGAAGACCCCAGCAATCGACGCTTGCTACGGGTGGCGTGCTTGCGGAGACCTGCATCAGCTTTCAAGCATACATACGCACTATCGCCGCTATCCAAAATATCTCCAACCTGCGAGAATATTGCGAGACCTCGATAGCGAGCGCTGCCGACATCGGTCATGCAAAAGCCGCCGATCACGCAACCCTAGTGGTCCTCTCGCTGCGCGCCCTCGGAGTGGCGGGACGACTTGCGAGGCGCTCGGGGTGATGGAGGCTCCGATGCGAACCGATGCGGGATCAACATGGCGTCCAACTACTCACCTTATCGCACCGACGATCACCCAACTTGGTAACGGACCGCTATCCCGCCCTCCAAATGAACTTCACCGGTAGTTCACCGTGGCGCCGTTCCTGGTCGTCATTGTCGCGCTTTCATCCCGATTCGGCAGATGGCCTCGAAAGTTGGAGGACAATCTCCGGCACTCGGGCAAGTGCCCCGCGATGGTCCCAAGTGCGGAGAGATAAGCATGTCACCGCTTCGCTGTGGCTGGTGAAATCTGACGCGACCAATGTTAGCTATGAGCTTCCGACGCTTCTCTCTATTACACAAGGCTCCCTTGTGTTGGGTCGCGTTGTCAACCAGCTCCTCGCTGTCGGCGAAGTCCTGTGGTAGGGATAACCATGTATGGTCTATCAATGATGGAATACGCTGTCTCATCCCATGTTAGCGCGCTGTACTGGCATTCGGTCGCTGCACGTTGAAGCCATCGCCATCATGTTGAGAACACGTAGCACTTCTGTGAAGTCGTCTCCCTGCCTGATCACGCGGGATTAAATGTGAGACAAGCTCACGCCGGCGAACCGTTGTCTCGCCTTGCTTGTTATTACTGGGTAAGTTACGCTGTACTAATTGCCTTGTGTCAAGTGAGCTTCCATGCAATACAGCCGGGGGGAAGGTTCGCAGAACCGAGCGCGAAGAGCAGAGTGAAACTCGGATTCTCGGCACGACTGGGGCAGAACTCTTTGCAACATTCCCTACGGCGTGTTCTCGATGCTACGGTGGAGAGTTCTTAGCGGTTAGACGTGGCAGCGTGAGGGAAAGCGTTGGGTACGCACGTTCGTGTGTCCATATGTCGTCCCGCAGTGCCTATGCGCAGACTAAGGTGGTATGCTGTGGCGTATACGCAACATCGTGTTCAGTTGAATCCCGCTGCTTACACGACACATGAGGGCACCACAAAACATAGCTCACGTAGACAAAATGGACGTTCAGGGGCTTGAACCCTGGACCTCACGCAATCTCCAATGCAAAGCGTGCGCGCTACCACTGTGCCAAACGCCCCTTACGTTACCAAATCGCGGATAGGAAGTAACTGTAGTTGGAGCTCGCTGCTGCTACAAGAGACATCCGAAGGGAAGCCAGAGCGTGCTCAACGCATATCGTGTATTCCGTAACGAGTCTCATGTTGGCTTAGACAACCTAGTTCACTGTCCATAGCCCAACTAGCTAATTACCAATAGATGCGCATTGCATAAATGTCAAAACTACGGAGTATGCCGAATGACATCGTCGAGATTCATTAACACCTTGCTCTACTAGATCATGGGCGGGTATAATACTATGTGTGTCGTTCTACTTTTACGGTCTGCGTGATGAACCCTGAACGCCTTAGTCATCTATGGGTCGTGGATATGGTCATTGTGGTCTTCGATCTCCTTTGTTCGTCTAAGCCCTCACTATTTCTCGCTGCAGGCACTCACATTTTTTTCCCGTTTACCTCCGCCGCGCCGACCCACTCTCCGGAACGGTCCTTCTTGCGCACGGTGAAGCAAGCAATCCCGAGGAACTCCGTGATGTCGTTGATGACCAAGTAGCAGAACCGCGCGTATGACAGGAACGCGACCGCGAGCGTCACGTATACGAACAGCGCGGTGCGAGGCAGAGTGCTCTGGATCAGCGGAGGCCTGTTTGAATTCACGTCCGGTTAATACTGTAGGCGTCACCGAAAGCGTCCGGCTGGCGCGCACCGATTAATGAGCCGCGGCAGGTTCGCGTCTATCGCACCGACGATGCTCCAGAGCCACATCGAGTCCCACCAAGGGAACGGCTGCTTTGTAACGTGTGCAAGGATGATGCGCGACACTTGGTGGGCAAACTGCAGGCCCCAAGCGCAGAGGAATGGCACGAAGAGCGCTGAATGTAGGATCTGCGACTCCTTGAAGGACGGCGAGCTCAGCCAGAACACTTCGAGCGCAACCGAGATAGGGAAGGGTAGGAGGAAGAGTAGTGGCAGAAAAGGTCCTTGTCCAGTTGAGACGCGCGCCTTGTAAACGTTGTAGTAACTGCGTCCAGGAGGGTAAGTATGCGAAACAGGAAGGAGCTGTAGCGGATTGTTCGACCTTGTTACAATGTTGAACGCGAGGACGAAACCGCCAAGGACCATGAAGGCATCGTTTAGACCAAGCCTCGGGATATACTGCAAGACAGTGGGATATCTATCTAGACGGGTAAATGCGAGGAAGTCCGTGTCCCAGAAAGCAGGTCCTTGGCCTCCAGTTCAGCCTATACACTCCATTGGCACATGAGTAAGGCTCACCAGTGAATCCCGTAATCGTGTATACAAGGACGATGGAGAGAATGCCTTCCACAGGTCCCGAGAAGATACCCAAGAACAATTGACCTGATGAAACTGCACTGAGCCTATGACTCAGCAGCACAAGCCCGACACAAATCTACCTGTGTGATACTCCTCCCAAGTGGTCAAATAGAAGTTGGCAAGGGTCGCGATCTGAGAGGCAACCGTCCACCATGACCTGCCGAGATTCAGCGCACGAGCACACAGGATGACTTCGAGCTGGCGCAGCGATGGGCATATATGCAGACATGCTGTAGATGGACCCATACCGTTGTGTTGAGGGCATCGCAGCCATGATCGAACATCTCGCCGAGGGGGCCTGCCATGCCAGTCCGCCGTGCTTGCTTGCTACGACCTAGTGAGTCGCTAGCCTTCAACCGTGATCCGAGAGACATACCCATCTATAGCATCAAGGGTCTGATAAAGGAATAGGCCAGCCGCCCAGCTGTATGCAGCGACAATAAGGGCACATTAGAGAGTAGGCGGGTAGTATCTGGACGTACGTGAAGTATATCCATTGAGGAGGGCCGTCCGCACCACCTTTCTCTGTCAGAAATTTGGGATCGTAGTAGAGGAGTGTGCCAAAGTTTATCAGCACCAGGGATAGTCCCGTCAAAGTGATCTTTCGGCAAACAATTGTCAGCAGAGAAGATACCCAGAAGGAGTCGAGTCGCGCACAGTGTTAGGTGCTATCCAAGTAGGCCAAAGTGTAACGAACCATGCCCAGAATGGCTGGAGGACATAACGAGACACAAGAGATCTGTCTCAAGGCTGTAAGAATGAGTCTGGTGAAGGGAAGCTGATCACCGACTTGTCGACACCTTTGTAGGAATATTTCTTGAGGTTCTCGAGGGCGTGTTGTGGAACGTAACCCATTATCGCCAGTCGTTGTGAGCTCGGAAGAATTTACAAAGACAAATCCAAGAAAGCAAGCTATGAGGACAACCCCAGCGACGAAGAGGATGGCGGTTGAGCCGGCAACGAAGGTAGGACGGAATTTAACTGAAGAGACGGACTCACTCGCAGCCGCTGTCGCGCTACGTCACGCGCACGTGCGCCGTGTCTCTTGCTCGCTTTCTGGTGGCTTCCAGTGGGGCCTCATACCCTCACATTCGGCATAATATTATCGGGCACACTCGAGTTTGCGGAAAGAGGCAAGCGTGGACCACCAAATGAACGAGTGGCATGTCATAGGACGTAGACACAACAAAGCTTACAGTACTGATATACAAGATTATGATCCTAAGTCCTCATAAGGACTAGAAGCCCAGCTGCTCGACGAAGGACTGCCATGACGCATCCAACACGGGGACTCCTGGCGGCGGATTGAGCGCTGCTTGCATCGGATGCTGCCATGGGTCATTCGCCATCGGCAATTCGCCCGTCGACCTCTCTGTTGCAACGTCCGTAGGCGACGTAAAGTCAAAATCCGGGAAGAGCGGATAGTGTGTCTGCTGCGGGTTCGGGAATGCCGTCGACGGGAAATCCAGGTTGATGTTGACATCGTTCCCGCTGACATCGAACTGAGACGCATCCCAGAACCCACCGTCGAACGTGCGCATGTCGTGCATAATCGTCGGATGGATCATGTCTGGCTGCACCGGCGACTCGCTCACAGACGGGCTGAGGGTCTGCTTCGCATGTAGTCGGCTTGCAGGCGCCCCGGATAGCAGCGGAACTTGATCACAGGGCCGTAGCAGATGCGTTTTGCCACCCAGACGGTCCAACTCGCTGTGAATCCGTGCGGATTCTTCCTCGGCGTGTGCATTATTCATCGCGTCGTGGGCCTGTCTGCGAAGCTTCTTCATTACCTCCTGCGGGAAGTCAGCGGTAGAACGACGGAGACAGTCGAATAATCGCACAATATTATTTGAGGCAGTCTGGCTCTGACTCGCCGCATCCTCGAAGAGCTCATATATTTTGTCGAGTTCTATCAGCGAAGCCTTCGCCAGATTCGAGGACGGTGCGCGAATGACAAGCAGACACATCACTATCTACGGAAGCAGTCAGCATCGGGGCCCCTGAGGGGATGGGGGAAGCAGACGACATACACTACCCGAAAGAGCAAGAGACCAGATGAAACTGATCCTCGAGGTGATGCCGGGAGCATCTTTGTATGCGCACTTCGAAGTCGCGAATATCCGCCACGCGGAACGATATATAGCCACGACAGATGGACCATACTTGTGCTTCAGTGGGTCTTCTGGAATATCATTCAAGGCTTGGGAGAAGTACGGCCGGTGCAGGTTCAACAGCGCTAGCCAGCTGTCAGCTACCATGACCATGACGGGTCGCTGCGACAGTGAACGCACTAGTCTCCTTGAACAAGGTAGCCAGAAGCCGCTGCATGTTGAGCGCCATTGTGGGCGGGGGATTCTCTACAACCCCGCATCGTACGCGCAATGATGAAGGCACCGGAAAGTCGCGGACCTTGCGGTCGAGCTCCATGACCTTATCGTAACTAGGCTGCTTTGCGCCAAATGCAGTGGTCATGACGCTGTATAGCACTCTCGTATATTGCCATGCCCAGAGATGGACTGAGGACCGGTAAGCGCTAATTGTGGGAGTACGGCCATGGAAAGACATACATCCAACCTCTCGTCTATCCTGATCGACCGAGACGAGATCCGGTTCTTTGGGCATCTCGCAGTCGACGAAGTCAAGATTGATGCTCGGCGGCCTGCCGAAGCCAAAGCTCTTGATACTCGCGCGTCGAGATCAAAGTTTTACAGTTATTCAGAGAAGCTCGCTCACCAGCCATGTGTCCTGGAAGAATAACTGCCAGAACACGGTGGTTCGCTTCAAAGCCGAGCCTTCATCCAAACGCCATCTCGAGCTGCTGACATCTAGTCATGCATCAGCGACACGATGTTCGACTGGTGATGCCGTCACCTACGGAGCCCAATCTGCAGAGTGTCAGTTTCATGAGGCGAATGGGAGCTATGCGCACATACACTAAGACCCAGCTTCACAGCCTGTCCTATTTGCATCCATGCCTTATGCGAGGCGGTATGTGCAGGTTCACAGTCGCTCATCTCGAGATACTGAGCCATGTAGATCTACGGCAAGGAGTCAGCCCTGTTGTTCCGTTCCGTCTATGAGCGAAGAACTTACCAATGATTGTATAGAGGCAAGCGTTGTTTCATGTGCGGGAGGCCCGAAGCGCAAAGCGACTCGAGCGAGTAGATAGTACTCGTGAGCCTCAACGGCATATGGTGGTGTTTCGGGGTCGAACAACGTCGCAAGAGCGTAGATCATCCAAAGGAGAGATATAGAGTGCCAGATGGTGATATTACACGTGTCCCTGTCCGGACAGATGAGCAAGTCGTACATTGCCATGATTGGGATATGCGCACGGGGGCAGGTTGTAGAGTAGAGGAATAATGTTATCAAAGACGCATTCTCGAGGCAGAGGGCACCATCTAGATTGTAAGATCAGCAGTGTGCGCGCCAATGAAGGGGGCAGAGCACTAACGCGAACTTTCCATACTCCATGAATGTCTCACACTGCTGGAACGTTTGAGAGAGGGGCGGAAGGAGCCGCAACATTTCCGCTGCAAGCTCGGAGTCGGTGAGAAGCACATCGAGCTCTTTGTTGGCCTCGTCGACCATGAACTTGGAAAGTCGAGGCAACTTGACATCGCTGTAGCTTAGCCTTTCTGGAGCCTATACCATGCGGATGATAAGGGCGCGCCTGAAGTACTCA